AACAGTTCACCAGCCCAGGTTGGGTGCATGAGACAAGTGCTCGGGCCTGGTGCACTGAGAAGACCCAGAGGGATTGGGTGGAGAGGGAGGTGGGAGGGGGGACCGGGATGGGGAATACATGTTAAAAAAAAAAAAAAAAAAGATACACTATGGTTGTGATAAAATAAATAAATTAATTAATTAAAAAAAAAAACAATAGTGGGTACTGCGTACTGATTATGTAAGAATTCTCCGTATGTCTCTATAACTCCTTTTGTAAACCTAAAACTATTCTAAATTTAAAAGTTTAATCAAACAGAAAGACAAAAACATGACCTTTGCTGTAGTCTTTTAGAAGATACTCTTGATCACGTTAAAATAGTTTCCTTTAATCTTAGATTGGCTGTGTACTTTTTAATCCTGAAAGGGCATTGGATTTTATATAGCACATTGAATTTTATTATGTTCGAATATGTTGTCGACATGATAATTTTATTAGCCTGTTAATATGGTGATGAGTATTTTGCCTTCATGGGATAAATCCTCTGTAGCATGTAATGCTGTTTGATAGCATTTTACCCACATTGGAACGTCCACTAAACACCTGCCACTACTTTAGCAACTAAGTCTATGTAACATTCTAAATCTTCTGTTGTCATTTCAACAATCTTCAAAGCATCTTCACCAGGAGTATATTCCATCTCAGGAAACCACTTTCTTCGCTCATCCATAAGAAGTGACTCCCTTCCATTCAAGTTTTATTATGAGATTGCAGCAATTCAGTCACATCTTCAGGCTCAACTGCTAATTCTAGTTCTCTTTCTAAGCCATCTTCAGTTACTTCTTCCACTGAAGACTTGACTACTCAAAGTCAGGAATGGAATCAACTTCTGCCAAAATCTTGTCAATGTTGATATTTGACCTCTTTCCATGAATTGCAAATGTTCTTAATGGCATCTAGTATAGTGAATCTTTTCCAGAATGTTTCAATCTACTTAGATTCATCAGAGGAATCACTATCTATGGCAGCTGTAGCCTTATGAAACGTATTTCTTCGATAATAAGACATCAAAGTTGAAATTACCCTTTGATTCATGGGCTACAGAATGGATATTGTGTTAGCAGGCATCAAAACAACACTTATTTTTTTGTCCATCTGCATTGTAATTCTGCATGACCAGGTGCATTGACAATAAGCAGTACTATTTTGAAAGGAGCCTTTTTACCCGCCTTGAACAGTCGGTCTCAACAGTGGTTCTAAAATACTCAGATAAGCATGTTGTAAACAGATGTGCTATCATTCAGACTTTGCTGTTTCATTTAGAGAGCGGGAAGAGTAGATTTAGCATAATTCTTAAGAGCCCAAGTGGGCTTCCCTGGTGTCTCAGATGATAAAGAACCTACCTGCAATCCTGAAGACCTGGATTCAGTCCTTGGGTCAGGAAGATCCCCTGGAGAAGGGAATGGTAACCCACTCCAGTATTCTTGTCTGGGAAATCCCATAGACATAGGAGCCTGTCTTCAGTCCATGGGGTTGCAAAGAGTTGGACATGACTGACTAACACTTTCATTTGTCACTAAGGGCCCAAGGAGTTTGAGAAAGGCAAATGAGCATTAGCTGCAACTTCAAGTCACCAGGGAATTAGCCCCTAACAAGAGAGTCAGTCTGACCTTTCAATCTTTGAGCAGGGCTTTGACTTCTCCTCTCTAGCTATGAAAGTCCTAGATGGCATCTTTTCCCAATAAGGGCTGTTTCATCTACATCGAAAGTCTGTTGTTTAGTGTAGCCACCTTCATTGATCATCTTACCAAGATCTTTTGGATAACTTGCTGCAGCTTCCACGTCAGCACTTGCTGCTTCACCTTGCACTTATATGTTATGGAGATAAATATCATGGACCAATCTCTTCTAGCTTCAAATTTTCTTCTGCAGCCACTTCACCTCTCTCAGTCTTCACAGAATTGAAGAGAGTTAGGGTCTTGCTCTGCATTAGGCTTTGGCTCTGCATCAGGCTTTGTCTCTAAGGGAATGTTGTGACTGCTTTGATCTTCTATCTAGTCCACTAACAGTTTCTCCATATTAGTAAGAAGGCTGTTTCATCTTCTTATCATCCATGTGTTCACTAGAATAGCACTTCAAATTTCCTTCAAAATTCTTTCCTTTTAATTTGCAACTTGGCTAACTGTTTGGTGCAAGAGTTCTAGCTTTGACCTTTCTCAGCTTTTGACATGCGTTCCTCACTATGCTTAATTATTTTTAGCTATTGATTTAAAATGAGAGATGTGTGACTCTTCCTTTCACTTTAACACTTAGAGGCACTGTAGGGTATAAATTGGCCTAATTTCAACATTGCTGTTTTCCAGGGAATAGGAAGGCCCAAGGAGGGGGAGAGGGACAAAGGAACTCCTGATTAGTGGGGCAGTCAGGACACAAGGGCATGCTAAGTCACTTCAGTCGGGTCTGACTCTTTGAACCCGAGGATTGTAGTTAGCCAGGCTCCTGCCTGCAGGGATTCTCCAGGCAAGAATACTGGGGTGGGTTACCATGACCTCATCCAGGGGATCTTCCCAACCCAGGGATTGAACCAAGGTCCCTGCATTGCAGGCAGATTTTTTTTTAAAAACCAGTCCCAGGGAAGCCCACAGCTCTTATCAAGTTTGCCATCTTATATGAGTGTGGTCTGTGGTGCTCCAGAACAACTTGAACAGTGATATCAAAGATCACTAATTACAGATAACCATAAAGAATACAATTTTAATGAAAAACTTCGAAATATGGTGAGAATTAGCAAATGTGACACAGTGGCATGAAGTGAGCAAATGCGGTTGGAAAAATTACATCAATAAACTTGCTCAATACAGAGTTGCACCATAGGCTAATGTAAACTAATATAAGTGTTCTGAGCATGTTCAAGTTAGGCTAAACTAATCTTTGAAGTTTGGTAGGTTAGGTTGTATTCAATGCATTTTCAACTCATAATATTATCAACTTGCAATGGGTTTATCCAGATGTAAGCCCAATGTAAGGGCTTGAGGAAGATCCGTACTTATTGACCTGCTGTTCCACTGGAAAATGATTTGATTTGAGATTTCTGGCATTGCAGGGTACAAGGGAGGCAAGGAAATAGTTATGCTTCCAGGACCTTGATCCCCACGACCGTACCACACATATGTGAAGTTCCTTGGCCCCTCTGGGCTCGTATCCCACTAGGATGGAAGGCAGGGCTTTCAGGTACTTTCACGTAAGGCGTAGGCAAGTAAGAGCTGTGCTCATAGGACACTGGAGGTGGTGTGTCACTGGCAATTTTCCAATTGATGTTTATGTCTCCTCTGTTCTGCTGGGTTTTACTTCCCTTGTCTGACTCCCTTTTTGCCAGCGGCCAATACTGTGTAGCTCATTCCTTTACCACATGCCGGTTCTGTGTGTATCCTGGCTGCCACAGATGGTGTAGAACTCAGGAACCAGATGAAGTGAAGACGACACATGTCTGCTCACCAGGAATCCCCTCTGGTGTTCCCAGCAAACACCTCCTTTGAGGCAAGTCCAGGTCAGGAGTCACCTTTTCTCCGAACCATTCTCCAGAATGAACCCTTCCTTCTTTTAGGATCTTGGTACAGTTATCAAAGCCTATACTGATTATTTATATATGCATCATGTCTAAATATATATATATATATATATATAAAGCAGGTGTCAATTTGCTACAAGACACTTCATTGCAAGGCTGGCATATTTCTTTATTTTTCCAAATCAAAGAACAGATTTAGCTGCCCATTCCTGCTGTTGGGGTAAATTCATGGGCAGGCACATTTTGCTAAGCTTTCCCCTAGTTTTTGGTGCTATCCAAGAAGTCTGAGCCTTATGCAATTCAGACATACAGGCATTGCCTCTGCTGGTCCACAGTGATCCTAACATCTGGTGGAGCTTGGATTCTCTGGGGCCTAAGGAAGGTGAGCTGCAGACCACCTAACTGAGTGCAGGGACCCCTCTGCTCTCAGCCTTCTGCAACATGCTTGCTGAGGGCAAAAGGGGTAGAGTTTACCCACCACTTTTGAAGTCTCTCCTCAGCATTCTCTCTTCCATCCTCTCCCAGAATCAGGCCCCCTCTTAAACATCTGGGATATGATTAAGCCCCTGACCTCTTTGATTGGTGTCTGCTCAGAAGTTTCCCTTGGCGATGACCTTTCACTGGCAAAAAAAAAAAAAAAGCTTAGATCACACTACCAACTTTTGCCTGTCCTCTGGCAAAGAGCTGAGAGTTAACTTTTTTCTCCCAACCTTTTGAATCGCCTTTAAAAGAGAACTAAACATGAAGAAGATATACACTGGGAATTCCATCGCACACTTTTGCAGTGTCTCCTCCTTGAATAATGCTTCCCTGGCAGATTTCGGCTGTCCTCTGGACACCTCCAGAACCATCTGAGAATCAGGCCGGTGATGCCCAGCAAATGGTTGCTGGAAGAACATCCACCACGGCTCGCGGGAGTAGGAGGGACCTGTCTCATGTCTGTCTCCTCTCCTTTGGGTGGACTCGCGAACCTGTGAGAGCCAGATTCCTGGGCTCTGCATCCAGCAGCTGGCGTGGAGGCAGGGCCCTGGGGAGCCAGATTCAGGAGTCCCACCGTTCTCCCAGCGACCCGGCGTGGCTTGTCTGAGAGTGGCAGCGAGCGGACCGGGGACAAAGGACAGAAGAGACAGGCAGAGCCTGGCCATCACAGCCTCGGGCACGCGGGTACCGCTCGGTGGAGACGGACGCGGGGAGCTGGCGCGCCCCTCCTGGACTTCTGGGCTACTGTCTCCCCCGCGGCCGCCTACCGCTGGGGTCGGGCGGCGGGCTGGGGGGGAGGGGCGCGGGGGACGGGGGCGGGGCTCGTCACGTGGAGAGGCGCGCGGGGGCGGGCGGGGCGTGGGCGCGCGCTGGGCTCTTTAAAGGCGCGCCAGCCTAGCCGGGAGAGGCGGCTTTGCGGCCGCAGGCTCAGGTCAGGGCTGGTTTCCGAGACGCGCAGCTCCGGCCCCCAACATGCGCGGCTCGCTGTGCCTGGCGCTGGCAGCGTCGATCTTGCACGGTAAAGCCACCGGTCTCTCCAGCCACCACTCTTGCTCCGTGGGATCCCAGGCGCATCCCAGGCGGCTCGGGGCGCCCCGCGCCGGGGACGGGATTGGGGATTCGCGCCTGCTGCGAAGGGCGGCGGGAGGCGCTGCCGGTGGAAGGCGAGCCCGGCACTTCTGGGCTGCGCTGCTTGGGCGGCTGGGGGTGCTTGGGCAGGGGGCTCATCCCCGCCGGCTGGCCCTGAGCAGCCCGCGCGTCTCTCCTCTCCTCTCCTGAAGTGTCCCTACAAGGCGAGTTCCAGAGGAAGCTCTACAAGGACCTGGTGAGGAACTACAACCCCTTGGAGAGGCCGGTGGCCAACGACTCGCTGCCACTCACAGTCTACTTCTCCCTGAGCCTCCTGCAGATCATGGACGTGGTAAGTTCCGGCCGGGCCGGGGCCTGCCCGCCGCCTTGTGCCTGTTTCCCCAGCCGCCCAGGGAGGAACCTGGCGTTCCCAGGCCACCTGTGCGCTGGTACTTCAGACCTGACTTGCCCTCGGATTAGAAACTCAGGGTGAAAGTGTCTCCATCCTGAGTCAGGAATCATCAAGAATAGGTCTGAATGGTCACACATTAGTACCCCTTCTGGTATAAGTATTGGCATGTAGTCTGATATGGGTGTCAATTTAGGCATTTCTAGACTTTTCTGCTGCTTCCCTGGTCTGGGCACGGGTCTGGCCCTGGACTTTGCAGCTGACTCGTCTGTCCAGGCAGAGGACCAGCTGTGAGCATTTAGACCCCCTCCCCAGTTCCAATAATGGGCATGGTTCCTGGGGAGGTTAATGCAGGTGGTCCTGCTCTGCTGCCCGGATACACTTGTCTGCTCGTTCAGGCAACTGCTTCCAGCCCCACGGGCTTCTTGCAGACTTATTAGTGCTCACTTCAATTGGCAGATCTGTGTAAAATCTGGATAAGTTTGTTCTTCTGCTCTTCTAGATTGGATATTCAGTTTTCATTGGCACATCCTTCATACAGTACAAATATTTAATGAAAGCATTTAAGTCATTGTAAGTGAGTTTCAGGGTCTAGCCTGTACAAAGCATTGGACTCGGCTCCGGAGCAGTATGCAGGGATGATGGTGTTCCAAGGAGGGGAGAATGTGGTAGGAAAGGGATGTGAGAAAAGCTACAACAGGTAGAAAGTGCTAAGAGTCTCCAGAAGTGTGAGAAGAAGGGTGAGATTTCATAATCCTGCAAATAAAGAGCACCCGTTCTATTAAACTGTTGAATGTTGCATCATTTAATGTAGTTACAATTGCTAAGATGAATGGTTTCTTTTCCCACAGGACACCTGTGTTAAATGTGTAGTCCCTCCTATTCCACAGTTAGACCTATGCTTCAAAATATTCAGTGTGTATGCAGTGACATGGAGAAACTATCACATTGGAGAGCTGTAAAAGCAGATAAGTGCTGTCCTGTGGTTTACCAGGGCAAAAAATGCTGTTTAGAGAGCTTGAACTGTAGGAAGAAGGAAAGGACAGAGATGTGGTGTTAGGGGGAGAGGTGCTGAGAAAGCTGCCCCGGTGTTGAGCAGAGCCAGGGCAGAGAAATGGAATCTCAGAGGCTTTGGGGGATGGGTAGGGTGGGCACAAGCCCTGTGGCATTTGGGGAGGCAGACTATGTGGAGCAGCTTCTCTGTTACTTTAGGAATCATAGGCTTTGTCCTTGGGAGCTTGGTAGTTTCTGGCTGTGCTCATTTCTGGATGATTGGTCTCAGGTGTGCGTGTTAAGTTGATTCAGTCATGTCCAACTCTTCAGCCCTATGGACTGTAGCCTGCCAGGCTCCTCCGTACATGGGGATTCTCCAGGAAAGAATACTAGAGTTGGTTGCCATGGCCTCCTCCAGAGGATCTTCCCAACCCGGGGATCGAACCTTTGTCTCCAGTGGCTCCTGCATTGCAGGAGGATTCTTTACCACTGAGCCACAGGGGAAACCTGGTTGATCTTTGTTAAGTTTCTCAAGCATCCTGAGTCTGTACTTTCCTGTTAATACCTTGGACAGGATAGCACTTCAGCGATCGTTGTGATGACCTGAAGACTGTGGAGCCAACTTTGAGAGACTGCAAAGTTTGACAGAAGACAGTGATCATTTTCATCTAAATAAAACAAAATTACCCCCCATCCCCAACTCATGCACGCATGTTACAGAGGACTAGATGAGCTAGCACACTCCAAAGTGGTGAGAAAATGAAAGCCACCCCAACACCATTTGCCTGGGGTTGGCCCCAAATGGGCCCCTCTGTGGGTGTGTGTGTGTCACAACTCCGGGTCTTGGACTGGTCCTTGTGCTGGATGCTTGGGATGTGGAGGGGCAGCAGCTACTCAGTCAGGGAATGGGAGCAATGACCAAGGGGAGCAGGTGCCATAGGCTGTGGCAGTCTCTTTTGGAGAGAAGGCCACTCACCAGGAAGCTGCAGGCTTCTTCCTAGTACCTCCATTTCTTTAAGAGACCTTTCAGGAATCAAATTGCATGAGAGATTTTGGCTTTTATGAAAAGTTTGGGTATAAGCTAGGGTTACATGATGTGACAACTAAAAAAAATAGTGAAATGCAAACATTTGTCAAGTTAGAAGATTTTAAGAATAATAATAATAAGCAGTGTGTGTCATCAACATTGCAATACCAGAGAGAAGCACTCATGAAGACCACTGTCAGCAGCCAGAGGTCACGGGAGGGTGGGAGGGGAGAAAGCTTTGGTCTGACCTTGACCGTGGATCTAGCTGTGAATGTGTTGAACTTCCCAGCTTGCCAATACTGTGAGCTCATGGAGTGGCCTTCAACAAATTGCTTTACTTTCTAAGCTCTGTTTCCTCATGTGTAAAATGAGAATAATGTCCACTTCACAGGGTTTGAGGGGATTAAATAAGAGAAAGCACTTGGCACACACTGGTAATTCACTGAAGATTTGCTTTATCTTCATAATGTAGCTACTCAACGGTTGGGACATCAATGCCTAGAAAGGTGTGGTCTCTTGGCCAGGGTTGCTCACTGGTTAGAGGCAGGGCTGTGTCACAGCTGCCTTGCAAGTCCTTTGTATGTCCGGCCTCCTTTAGAATCCATAACTTCTTTTGTAGAAAAAAAAATCAGCGTAATTTATTTAAACCACTTGAGTGTAACTGATTGAATGTGACTGTCCTGAGATTACAGTGAAAAGGAAGTCTCTATATCAGAAATAATGAAATATGCAAACATTTGTATTCCAGCCAGACTTGAGTCTGTCTGGTTTTGAAACAGAGCCAGGGCTTTCCAGCCGGACTCTCAAGACCCTGGACAGAGATACAGTGACTCAACTGATTCCTGTGACAAGCCCTAACTGGTATCAGGTTCTCTTTACAAATTCAGTTCCAGAGGTCCTTTGCCCATTCTGACTGGGCTGTTCTAGAGACCATTTTCCTTCCAAATCTTGTTATTGTTCCGTTTTCTTCCAGCAGAGATTTCCCGGCTGGAGTACAGGGAGATAATGTATGATTCTACATGTCTTATTTCCATGGAAGGTTGTTTACCTGTTCATCAGCTTATTCAACACATATTTTTTATTGAAATCTTCTTGTGGACTTTGCTAGATTCTGGGAATCTATGCATGGTTAAGGGATTATTTCTGCTTCTATAATTCACAGTCTTATCTATGGAGACTGACATGTAAATTCAAGAGTATCTCACATGTACCTGAATGCAAATGTGGTACAGACACACCTAGGAGGATATATTTACTTCCAGCCAGGTGGCTAGGAATTAGATTTCTAAAGGTGAGTAGGAGTTTGCCAGTTGGAGAAAACATGGAAGGCTTTCCCGGTGAGGCAAACGAATAGGGTGAAGAAAGATGAGAGTGGGAGGACACCATACCCTTAGCAAGGTATGTTCTGTGGGGCACTGGCTCCCAGTTGATCTTGTTGCAGTTGTGCTGCAAAGCTCTTCAGAAACTTGAATATGCTTATGTGTGTTGATAATTCTTAAAAGAGGGGTGTCATACTAACCAAACTACGAACTTTCTCTTACATACCTTTTTGTAAGAATGATGTTCTAGAAACACACCTTGCAAGATGAAGGACGGGGGTTATCTTCTGGTAGAAGGGCTAAGGTGAGTTCATACTATAGACAGAAGAGATGTTGAGCATAAGGTATGTCGAGTGGCTTTTCAGAGTTTAGATTTCGTCTTGGGCCTTCATCAGGGTATATCTCCCAGGATATGAGGAGGTGGTGGTGGTGTGCCAGAGGATTCATGAAGCTGCAAGATCAGCTTGCCACTGCATATTTTTCTAGAAGTGGAAACAGTCCAAACCACAATATTTGTATTAAACCCAACAAGTATAAATTATAAACGAATGAAAAAAATGTACATAAACTTTTAAAGACAAACCATGTGTTTTCAGAGGGATAGTTTTATCTACTGTGATCTCCTCTAGCTATCTATCAGGCCCCCTTAGTGAGGCACAAGGTAGAGAGTGAGAGGGTGGTGGATTTTTAATCAGAGGTGGGACATTACTAGATCTGTGTTTAGATCAGGGATGCTGAGGGAAGTGTGTGTGCGGGACAGATTAAAGAGACGAGAAAATGTAGGCAAAGGATGAAGAGGTCAAAACTGTAATGGTCAGTGTGGAAATGTGGAGACAAGGACAGATTCCAGAGACCCTTTGGGCGTACTGTCTATGATATATAGCTGTGTGTAAGAATTCTATGTAGGTACATAGATAAATTTGTTAACTGAAGGTACCTAAATTATTCCTAACTGCATAGTCTGACTTAACGGTGATTATTAATTTACTACATGGGCTTGTAACTGGGCTGGGAATGAGATAATACCTAAGAAATCATTTTGAAGTGATGCAAGTGTAAGATTCTAAACTACCAACAGTTTCCATAATATTTCTCCTTTTTGCATTCCATTTAGTCATTTGTCTGTACACACACATCTAAAGGCCATTCTGAGTGTTGATTTGCATAAAATAAATGTGCATAGTTAGGAAAACATGTCCAGAAGGCAAGGTATTTAAACTGAATAATAAGAGTCAACACATAGTTATATAGAAATGTATAATACATAATGATGCAGGGATGATTTTTGCTGTTTTATACATTTGGGATTGCAGATTCAACTTTTTAGAAACTTTGGTCACAAGACAGCAGAACTAGGTGGTTGTGCATTTGGGGTTTGCTATTGCAGAATGCAGGCATGGGTATGGAGTCCAGGGTCTGAGGGCTTGTGTGTTATCTGAAATCCCTTGATGGCTCTGCTCTGCTTTATCAGACTTACGATTTTACATTTACTGGCCACTATGTGAAATGCTACAACTCAAACTTAACATTATCAAATACTTGCTGTAAAAATTGCACACCTTGAAGGCATTCTATGAAGAAAACCCAAGGTGCAGTTATTTAAT